AGGAGCAAGACAGCCAGCTGCCAGGGTCAACGTCTCTTTCCCTGGCTCTAAAATGCATCTTTCTGATCCAAGGCCTGTGATTTCTCACCCTCGGGCCCTGCCCCAGCGACCTCAGGGACAGACACCTGCCTTTGTTCTGGGCGTTTGGGGCTGAGGTGGGCAGGGCAGAGGCCAGAGCTCCACACTCTGGAGTCCAGCAGGGTTCTCCTCACAACAGCCCCATGAGGCAGGTCCTGGAGCCCGCATTTCACAGATCAGGAGACTGAGGCTGCGGGGGTTGAGTCCCTGGCCCATGGTCACACAGTAAGTAGTTCCCTTGTCTGCTGGTGGCTGGGAAGGAGGCTCCCCAAAGTCTGAGGGCTTGGCCCGGGGCCCACTCCAAGCCTCCAGCACTTGAGAGCCGCCAGTCCTGCCTTATAAGCCCAAAGACCGGGTGGCCGGCTCGGGTATTGGGCCGGGCCTTGTAGGGAGACAGCCGTGCTGCCAAGCACTCGGCCCCAGGACAGCCTCCCCGTCCTGGCTAAATTTAGCGGCTCTGTGCAATGTGGAGGCTGGAGGCTGGCTGGAGCCCTCAAGGGAGCAGACACGGGTTCCAACAGGTCTCCTTAGTCACTCAGGGGCCTGAGGATGCCAGGACCATACCCCAGTCCAACCCTGACACCATCTGGGCCAGAGATTCCTCTGATGCCACACAGCCCCCTAGACCCTGACTGGAGAAGAGCCCTGGGCCAGCCTGGCAGAGGCTGTCAAGGGGAGGTTGGGGGAGGACCGACAGCTATGGGGAGGCCTGGGGAGTACAGCGCGGGCCCCCAGGTTTGGTATCTCCCATTGCCTGGACCTGGGCTGCTTCTCAGGCCTCTTCTATCCCCCAACTCTGGGTGTGACCTGGCTGAAGCCCCCCTCCCGTGTGTTTAAAGCGTCCCACCCTCCTGGTCCTCCGCCATCCCTCTGGGCCATTTCCCTTCATCCTTGGCCTCTCTCTGCCCTGGATTAAGAGAACTCCTGGGAGGCCAGGGCTGGTGGCTCATGTCTGTAATCTTGGCACTTTGGGAGGCTGAGGCAGGAGGATTGCTTGAGCTCAGGAGTTCGAGACCAGCCTGGGCAACATAGTGAAATCCCGTCTCTATAAAATATACAGAAAAAAAATTAGCCGGGCATGGTGGTGCATGCGTATAGCCACCAGCTGCTTGGGAGGCTGAGGCGAGCAGACCACCTGAGGTCAGGAGTTCAAGACTGGCCTGGCCAACATGATGAAACCCCATCTCTACTACAAAGACAAAAATTAGCTAGGAGTGTTGGCAGGAGCCTGTAATCCTAGCTACTCGGGAGGCTGAGGCAGGAGAATTGCTTGAACCTGGGACAGGGAGATTGCAGTGAGCTGAGATTGAGCCACTGCACTCCAGCCTGGGGGATAAAGTAAAACTCAGTCTCAAGAAACAAAACAAAACAAAACAAAACAAAACAGAAAAAAAATAAGCTGGGCATGGTGGTGTATGTCCATAGTCCCCGCTACTTGAGAGGCTGAGGTGGGAGGATCTCCTGAGCCTGGGAGGTGGAGGCTGCAGCAAGCCGTGATCATGCTACTGTACTCCAGCTGGGTGACACAGCGAGAGCCTGTCTCAAAATAAATAAATTAAATAAAAATAAAGAGGACTCCTGTGGGCTGGGCTAGCATGTGGCCAGCATGGTGGCCACATCTACCTCCTCTCTGGCACTTATCTCTTTTTTTTCCTTTTCTTTTCTTTTTTTTCTTTTGAGATGGAGTCTCACTCTGTCACCCAGGCTGGAGTGTGGTGGCACGATCTCAGCTTACTGCAACCTCCGCCTCCTGGGTTCAAGTGATTCTCCTGCCTCAGCCTCCCAAGTCGCTGGGATTACAGACATCCATCACCACACCTGGCTAATGTTTGTATTTTTAGTAGAGACCGGGTTTCACCACATTGGCCAGGCTGGTCTCGAACTCCTCACCTCGCGATCTGCCCACCTCGGCCTCCCAAAGTGCTGGGATTACAGGCGTGAGCCACAATGCCCGGCCTTTTTTTTTTTTTTCCTTCAAATCCAACTGTCTTGGGGTGTAGTTCACATGCAATAAAATGTCCCCCATGTTAGGCACACGGTTTGATGAGTTTTGACAAGTGCACCAGCCCCCTCCAAATCCATCAGCCTAGAACGCCCCCACCTCCCGTTTGTGATCCATCTTTCCCCAGCACCCCCAGGCCCAGGCAGTCACTGACCCGCTTTGTCACTGCAGATTTGTGCAGCCTCGTCCAGAGCGTTAGGCAGGTGGAATCGGGCAGGAGGAGCTCCTTTGTGTCTGGCCGCCTTTGCTCAGCCCAGTGGTTTAGGCTTCACGTGGCGGTTGCGTGCATCGATGGTTGGTTCCTCTCGGTTGCCTGGACATACTGCAGCTTGCTTATCCTTCATCAGTTCATGGACATCTGGGTCCTATGCTGGGTAAAGCCACTGTGGACTCTCGGGGGCCTTTGTGCGCATGTCCAGCTTCCCTTCTCCTCCCTGCTCTGATTTTGTGCCTCCATTTCTCCTAACGCAGCCCCACCGGGGCCTCTCCCACCGCTGTGAGGACTGGAGCGTGGAGTCTGGGGAGCACAGAGTCCTGGTCTCTGGAGGGGCAGGGTCCCCAGGAGGATTTTGGTAGTTGCCAGTTAGAAGCGTGCCAGGGCTTGCCCCGGAATTCCCTCCTGGGTGAGCAGCTGTGAGGTAAGGAGACCTCTGTTTACCTTGGCCGCCCCATCCTGGCCTGTGGGCTCCATGCTGTGGGCTGGACAGAGTTGGACTCAGGCCGGCCTGGGTAGGGGTGGAGGCAGCGTGGCTGGGAAGCCTGGAGCCGACCGCCTCGTCCGCAGGACCCCCAGCCCATCTGAGCCTCACACCCTGCCTGGCCACCATGATGCAAGCTAGATGCTCAGATCACCAGAGGGCCTTGGGGACAGCATGACCTGCCCATTCTGGGCCTCGGGCTCCTCATCCGTAAATGGAGCCCTAGCCCTTGCCTGGCGCATCTCCCAGGGCTGGCTGAACACACCAGGAGATGAAGTGTATGAGAAGGTTCTGTGGTATGAGCGGTCTTACCGGTGGACCATGTGGAGGGAGGTGCCTTCTGCCTACCCTGGTTCCTGCTGTGAGCTAGGCGCCAACCCCAGGCCGCCTGCTAAGGAACCTGGGAGCTCCTGGGTTGGGGTGGGAGGGCTGCGCCACCATCACGCTGGCATCATGGACGTGCGATCCAAGCACCTGCACCCAGCCCCGTGCTCAAAAAGGCTCTGTGCTGGGGCCATTTCCCCTCATTCCCGGCCTCCTGCCTCTGCCCTGGATTAAGAGAATGCCTGGGGGCTGGCCCTGCCTCTCAAACACTGAGCACTTCTCCCCCGGTCCTGAGGGTTCTGAAACCACTACACCCACATGCCAGCCATGTGCCAACTCACTTCTACTGTGGCTGCTACTTCTGTTTTTCCTTTTTAAGGCAAACTGTACTGCAGTGTAATTCACAAACAATAAAATGCACCCATTTTAAGCACACGGTTTGGTGAATTTTAATGTTCTTTTTTTTTTCTTTCTTTTTTTTTTTTTAAGACAGAGTCTTGCCCTGTCGCCCAGGCTGTGGCACGATCTCGGCTCACTCCAGCCTCCACCTCCTGGGCTCAAGTGATTCTCCTGCCTCAGCCTCCCGAGTAGCTGGGACTACAGGTGCCTGCCACCATGCCCGGCTAATTTTTGTATTTCTAGTACAGGCGGAGTTTTGCCATGTTGGCCAGGCTGGTCTTGAACTCCTGACCTCAAGTCCTTCACCTGCCTCGGCCTCCCAAAGTGCTGGGGTCACAGGCGTGAGCCACCGCACCTGGCCATAATGTTGAATGTTCTGGTGTCTTTGTAATTCTTGTCATTTTGGGTCAAAGGGCTCCAGGGTTTCATTTTTGCGACGGGCCCTGCAAATTATGTAGACAATCCTGCCTCTGGCCCTGTGGGCAGGGCCTGAGTCTCCTTCCCAGGACAGCTGAGTGCAGGATTAGATACCAAGCCTTCATGATGGGTTTTGGCCGTGGCGACTCCCTTCCCAGAGCCCCGGCTTCCAGGAAGTCAGGGCCACCTGGGTGAGTCGGCTCACCCCAGGCGGCCTGGCAGAGGTCCCTGGGTACTGTGAGCTGAGGGAAGCCTTGGGGAGGTGGTAGGTGTGAGGTGCATTTGAGCTGGTCTTGGAAGGGCCGGTGGGGATGGGATCCCGGGATCTGAGGAGGAGAGGGAGATTGAGCAGGAGAGCTGCAGCACCCACAGAAGAGCTGGGATTGAGGCTCCCCTGTGGGATGCAAAGGAGCCCCTGAGATTCAGGCTCCAGGCTCAGCCCTCCCCAGGCCCAATCATGGAACTCTCCCAACCTGTTTCCTCGGGGGTGACATGCAGATCATAAAATGCATAAAAGGGGCCGGACGAGGTCGCTCATGCCTGTCACCCCGGCACCTTGGGAGGCAAAGGCGGGCGGATCACCTGAGGTCAGGAGTTTGAGACCCGCCTGGCCAACATGGTGAAACCCTGTCTCTACTAAAAATACAAAAATTATCTGGCTGTGGCGGCACGTGCCTTCCCAGCTACTCGGGAGGTGGAAGTTGCAGTGAACTGAGATTGCACCACTGCACTCCAGCCTGGGCGACAGAGCGAGACTTCGTCTCAAAGAGCTACATAAACAAATGAAACAAAACAAAATGCATAAAAGGCCTTTGAACTCGTGCACAAATTGTGAACACCGTCCCTGTGAGGAGCAAGCATCCCGAAGCTGGGAGGCTGTGCAGGCGCCGCACCTGCCGCTCGAGTGTGGCTCTCCAGAGCCTTGTCTTGGAGGCCAAGAGAACAATCCTGGTGATGTGTGAACCCCCGAACTTTGCTCAGCGTTTCCTGGACTGGGTGTGGGCAGGTGGTAGGGCCCCAGGCAGACGCCCTGTAGATGGAGATGGCAGGACCACTCCCCAGGAAAACAGACACTGAGGATCCTCTGTTCCCCCAGACACACGACCTTTATTTCTCTACCAAACAGCATGTCAGCAGGTGGGTACAGGGCCCTGCTCCTGCTAAGACCTCCCCACCTCCCCCCAGGAAAGAAGCAGAGAATCTCTGCAGGCACCAGACTCCCCGCCTCCCCCACTGTTTCTCTCACTGGCCCCCCAGAACCTGCGAGAGGAAGGAGGGGGGAGGTATGGGGGAGGGGGCTACAGAACATGGAGCCCATTGGTCTGCAAGGTAGGCTGAGGGGCTTTGGATGTGGGGGACTAGGAAAGGGATGTGAGTCTTGATTTACATATAAAATCATCAGTCCGCACACTCTCTAGGAGGGGCCAAGACATGGGGACAGCCCTTGGCACAGGTTTCCGCTATCCCTCACTAATTGTTGCCAAAGTAGCAAAAGCTGAGTTAAGAGAAAAATTCTGTCCATCAAAGGCCATCTTCCTCTCATCTGACATGATGCGTTCCTCCAGCAGGGGGGGAGGGAGAGCAGGTGCCCTTGGGGAATCAGCCATCTTTAGTGACATCCTTTCGGCTCATGGGTGTCGTGTGGAGGGGGTGAGGAGTGTGACCAAGAGTCCAGGAGAGCCCACCAGGCTCAGAGGCCCCCAGCTGTGTAGACAGTGCAGCAGCCGCACCCTGGGTTGGTAGAAGGGCGCCACGGGCAGGACCCTGAGGATGCCAGGGGTCTCAGGTACCAGGGACGTGGGTGGTGAGTTGGACCTCTGCATGGCAGACGAGGCGGCAGTGACCCTGAACGTCTCCTGCTCTCAGGACGGGGAACCCTGAGTCCAGGAGGCGAGTGGGGCTGAGGCAGGTCAACTAGACTTTCCCAGCTTGTCTCCTGGGAAAAGCCATCTTCGCTCTGCCCCTCCTCCTGGCTCCTTGTGTCGGTCTCTCTGACCCTTCACCCCCCGGGCCCTGCACATATAAACAGAAGCAGCCTGAAGCTCTCAGAAGCCGACTTTGTGGAAGCAGAGCGGAGTGGAGGGGGCTGCCCGCTCTCGCTGTACACAGCTGGGCCCAGATGGCCCCTTCTGATCCCTCAGGGCTGACCCAGTCCCAGACCAGGCACGAAGGGAGGGGTCGGAGCCAGTAAGACGGACCCCCAGGAGTCCTCCGTCCGTGCAGAGGCACCAGTCACCAAGTGAAGGTCCAGCTTCCAAGCAAGGGGGAGCAAGCTCCAGGCAGACTCGTGATTTGGGGGTGGGGGGACCCCGGATCTCTGGGTGTGCTGCCAGCTCTGGCTACTTGGCTGCCCCCTCCCAGCCTGCAGCTCCTGGGCCAGAGCTGCAGAGCGGGGAACTTCCCAGGAGAGTCCAAGACACAGGAATTACAGAGCTCCCAGGCCAGACGGAAGTGGGGACAGAGACCCCAGGACGGGGCCTGGGGATGGCGGTTCTGGCCTCGGGCCTATCATCTCTCCGGCGGGAAGTGGGCGAGTGTGGTGGCAGGGGTGGGGGCGGAGGCGAACGCATGGACACCGTCAGTCTGAAGCACACACCGGAGACTCCACTCCGTTCCCTGCGCTCACTTCTGGCTCTTTTCTGGAAGAAAAACCCGAGAGCGTGTTAAGATGTATGCATAAGGGCACACATCCAGGCAGGTTCCTTCCAGCCCCTTCCCAGCCCCTTCCATCCTCCACTTCTCCCAGGACAGCCCCAGGCTCCCATGGCCTCCCTTACTCCAGACCTCAGTCTACCCCCGCCCCAGCAGACCCCCACGCTGCAGCCAGGATCCTGCTCTACAGGACACATCCCTGCAACGTCCCCTACACCTCCTTCTCTCCGCTGTTCCATCAACGCCCCCAAACCCTCCAGTACATACTCTCCGGGTTTTCATTTTGGGGAGTCACTACCCACCATTGTAAGGTTCAGACACCAGGCTCATCCTTGCTTCTCTTACCCATCACACACACCCAGGCCCGATTTCGCCCAAATTGCGAGAGCTCATCTCTCCCGCTGCCTTCCCCCGCCAGGACTCAGGGCCTGCTGCTCTGCCCCCAGCCCCAGTCTTACCTTCCCATCATCCTTCTGCCCCTAGCATCAAGCAAAAGCCCAAATCCAGTCCCAACACCTCATTTCATGGTTCCTCACTGTCCTCAGAGTAAACTCTAAGCCCGCCTGTAACCTCCCAGATCTGTCCCCCCCAGCCACCACAGCCCAGCCCCCAGGCCTCCCCTGACAGCTGCTCAGCCACACCTGGGCAGAGCCAGGAGGTAGGGCAAGAGGACCGCCCCCAGTCCCCAGGGCTGACCCAGGAGCCAAACTTCTCCCTAGGACACATCCCTCGTAAATGACATAAATCATGGGGAAGCCACAAGCATCGGGCTTCAGAAAAACTTCCCTAAAAGGCCACCCGGCTGGCTTGGGAGCGCAAAGGGTCCTGCTCTCACCCCCGCCCCGTCTGGCTTTAGGAGGCCCCAGGGACTGCAGCGGCGCTGGGCAGGGCTGTCTGGGCTTCCAGCGAGCACATTCCTTGGGGTGCCTCCACCCCACCCCTCAGATGGAGCTGCAGGTACCCAGCCTGTGTCTGTCCTCCAGCAGCCAGGCACCACCTTTCCAAGCCAAACTTCACAGGGGCCACCGCCAACATCTCAAGGAGGTGGAGGTAGAGGTGCTGCAGGGGCCAGCTCCCCGGGGCCAGTTCCCCAGGGCCAGAGCTCTGCCCGCTCCCCAGGTCTGTTCAATGCCGCTTGCCCACCTCCTGGTGTTAGTCTCAACCCCTCATTTTTGGGGAGGGTGGGGGACGGAGTCTCACTCTGTCCCCCCCGGCTGGAGTGCAGTGGCTCAATCTCAGCTCACTGCAACCTCTGCCTCCCGAGTTCAAGCGATTCTACGACCTCAGCCTCATGAGTAGCTGGGATTACAGGCACCTGCCACCACATCCAGCTAATTTTTGTATTTTTAGTAGAGACTGGGTTTCACCATGTTGACCAGGCTGGTCTTGAACTCCTGACTCAGGTGATCCTCCCACCTCAGCCTCCCAAAGTGCTGGGATGACAGGCGTGAGCCACTGCGTCCGGCCCGTTAGTCTTACCCCCTCTTGCCTGTCCTCCATGGTTGACACAGTCCCTCGTTGTCCTTACACTCCTCCCGTGCTTCCCCACTGCCCTGAGGACAGTGTCCAGGGTCTCTACCTTGGCACTCAAGGCCTCACCCCCTCTGCCCTCCACTCTGAACGTCAGCATCTGTGCTCACCCAGCCCTGTTCCACCAGGTTCAATCCTGTTCTTTCCAACCACTGCGTTAACCTCAAAACCTTGAGAAACTCCCCTTCACTCCCCCACAGGCTTGCCTTGCTGAGTGCCCACCTGCACCCTCAACGCAGTCCCTACATGTGTCTGGCCACTCCCTGGACAGGCCAGCTCCCTTGCTCAGCCCCTAGGGAATGACAGACATAGCTCCCTTGCTCAGTCCCTAGGGAATGACAGACGTGTGATCTATTTATAATCCCTCCACCCCCTCCCCTGGGGCACATTCCTGCCAGAGGTGGCCCCCAACGACCCAGCTGCCCCAATGCAGGCCTCAGTCACTGCCCAGCCCAACCTAGGCCCCCGCACCGCAGTTCAGCCACACAGCCACTGCCTCTGCGTAAATCCCAGGAACGGGAGCTCACCCCGGCTTCCTCCCTCTCTGAGTGGCTCTGACAGCGAGATGATGCTGTGCCCCTGGCCCTGGGAGGTTCAGAATCACCCACTCTCAGAATCCACCTGGCAGAGGCAGGTGGATGGACCCCATGTCCCAGCCCACTTCTCTCCAGCCTGACACCTGCCATCCTGTCCTCTCCACTCCGGGGTTAAGGCAGACCCAGAGCTGTGAGCTCAGAAACAACCCTCCCCTTGACCCACCCACAAGGTGACACCAAAGAGGCCAACCCGGTGTGGTCTGAGGTCCAAGAGGCGGTCATCGGCTGCCTACTCCAGGCCTGCGAGACTGTCCTGAGAATGCCTGGATAAAGACAGGCCAGGTGCACAGGGGTCAGAGGTCGAGGCCCAGAAGAGCACGCAGTGCCCTGGCCATGCAGGGAGTGGCAGGTGAAGACACTGAGGCAGTGCGGCCCGAGAGGTGCTTCCATTGCTGGCCCAGGACCCCTGCAGTGCAAGACCCTGCAGACACCTTGGGTCCCAGTCACCAGAGTCCCTTCATGCCCTCCGCTTGGAGATCCAAGAACGCCTCCCCCGCATGTAGACACAGAGGCTCTGCGCACCGCACCCACCGCGTCCGCTGCAGCCCAGGAGCAGAGGGGGGTGGGGAGGCAGGCTGGAGGCGGGTGGGCAGCAGAGTGGGTGGGAGGGGGCCTCCCACTCACCGTCCACGTGGTTCCGGGACAGGTACTTGAAGGCCTCATCCAGCAGGACGACAGGCAGAGATATCTGGAGCACCACCACCCACTGGCGCCCGCTCAGAGGAGTCACCTGGAAAATGAGCTGGCGGGGAGGGGAAGGGAGGTTTGGTGAAAGGAAGGACTGGCTGTCCCATGCCCCAGCCGTCCGCCGGCCTTATCCCCCTGGGCTCTGACGGACTCTTATCCCTCTGGCTCTGACGGACTCTTATCGCCCTGGGCTCTGATGGACTCTTATCCCCCTGGGCTCTGACGGACTCTTATCGCCCTGGGCTCTGATAGACTCTTCGTGAGCACTCTTAAGAACCTCCTGGATGTACCCCCCGATCTTTGTCCACTCAGCTTCCTCTGCCTCAAGGGCCCTCCCCTGCCCTTGCCCACTGGGCCAACTCCCATCCATACTGTTGGGAGGCGGGAGAATTCTGCCCTGGGAAAGTTCGTCCTTCCTTCCACCCCAGCCTGGGCACAGTCCCTTCAGCAAGGGGTGTCCCTCTCTTCCATTCCCAAGTCTGGGAGCTCCTGAAGGTAGGGCCACATCTGGAGGTGGTGGCTGGCCAGACCCCTCACCTCCCTCTCCTCCAGGTGGTTTCCATTGCAGGGGGGCCAGAGGGGCCCAGCGACCAGCCCAGGGCCTGTGATGTCCAGGGACCAGGGCAGTGGGACAGACGGGGTGACTCACAGGCAGGGGCGGCACGAGCAGGATGAGGAAGTGAAGGGCCATGGACATGGCCACAGCCGCCAGCAGCCAGGGGTTCATCCAGGGTGGCATCCGAAGCAGCGACTGGTTCTCCGAGACGCTGCCAAGGCACAGGGCGCTCCCCTTAGGCTGGGGTGCAGGGAGGCCCTGCCATGGGCACCCACCCCTGTGGGAGGAGCCTCACCACTTCTCCAGCAGTGCATCGCCGTTGCCCGCTCAGCCCGCCAGGGCCTGTCCCAGGCTGGGACCCCTTTCTCTGTCCTTCAGACCTAATCTTGGCTTATTTCTTCAGACCCCAGTTTCAGCCCTCTTTGTCCCCGAGACCCCAATCCGGTCCCCACAGACCCTCAGAATCCCCTCTGGGCCTCTCTGACCCTTAGACCCCAATCCTGGTCCCCAAATCTTTGGATCCCAATCTTGGACCCCCCTGACCCCCAGACCCTAATCCTGGACCCTACTTGGCCCCAGACCTCAGTTCTGGACCCCTCTAACTCCCAGACCTCAGTCCTGGACTCACGTGACCCCTGGAACCCAATGCTGGACCCTTGACACTCTGATCCCAATCCTGAACTCCCCAAACATCAGATCCCAATCCTGGACCCTCTTGACTGGTACACCCCAATCCTGAACCCCTGACCCTCAGACACTGATACTGGAACCCCCAACCCTCACAACTGGCATCAGTCCAAGGCCCCAGCTCCAGGCCCTGTGCCCAGCCCACCTGTTGAGGGCATTGCACATTTCAATGGTCACAAGCACGGACAAGGCCATGGTGGTGGGGAAGCGCGACTCAAACACCTCACAGTCGACGCCAGCAAAGAGTGGGTTGTCTTCAGAGCACTTCAGGAAGTTCCTCTGGGGGCACCGTGGCAGGTAGAGAAAGCAGCAGGTCAGGCGAGGGGCTGGTGGGTGGGAGGGAAGCCTTACCCTGCCCTTGGCCCATGCCTGGGCACAACCAGCACACAAAATGCCATCATGGGGTGGGCTGGGGATCCCCGGAGGGGAGCAGGGTTGGGGCAGCGGTGGCAAGATGCACTGTGCCAGGGAGAAGCAAGGGTACAGAGTGGGAAAGGCAGAATGTTCTGGAGCAGGAGTGCAGTGGCTCAGAAGGAGAACAGCTGGCATTAGCCTGGGGAGGCTAGCGGGACCCTGGAGACCACTGAATAGGGAACTGCATGGCTAATTTTTGTATATGTAGTAGAGATGGGGTTTCATCATATTGGTCAGGCTGGTCTCGATCTCCTGACCTCAAGTGATCCACCTGCCTCGGCCTCCCGAAGTGCTGGGATTACAGGCGTGAGCCACTGTGCCTGGCCTTGTTTGTTTTTGAGACAAGGTCTCACTCCCATTGCCCAGGCTGGAGTGCAGTGGCGCGATCTCAGCTCACTGTAGCCTTCACTTCCTGGGCTCAGGTGGTTGTCCCACCACAGCCTCCCAAGTAACTGAGACTCCAGGCCTGAGCCGTCGCTGTTGGCTAAGTTTTGTATTTTTTAATAGAGATGGGGTTTCGCCATGTTGCCCAGGCTGTTCTCAAATTCCTGGGCTCAAATGATCCACCCACCTTGGCCTCCCGGAGTGCTGGGATTACAGGTGTGAGCGGCCACACATTTTTATTTGGTGCTGAATATAAAGAAGGGAAAACCTCCTGAACTTTGAACCTGAGTCTGCCCACCCAGTGACCAAGGAGGACCAAATCCTCCTGCCAATTGTGCCACTGTTTTCAGGCCTCACCCTGCCACATCTCAATGGCCTATCCATACATGTACACACAAATTAGCCAGGCATGATGGCGGGTGCCTGTAATCCCAGCTGCTCGGGAGGCTGAGGCAGGAGCATCGCTTGAACCCGGGAGGTGGACGTTGCAGTGAGCCGAGCTCGTGCCACTGCACTCCAGCCTGGGCGACAGAGCGAGACTCTGTCTCAAAAAAATAAATAGAAAAAAATGTATCAATGGGTCTGTTGCTCTTGCCATAAATGCCCTGCCCAGTGATTCTGGGTTTCACCAGTAAGCACCTGCCACACACACACAGTATCCCCCAGGTCACTGGTCTCACTGTGGCCTCCGGAATTATTCATTAGAAGGTGTGCTGGGGGCCGGGCACGGTGGCTCACGCCTGTAATCCCAGCACTTTGGGAGGCCGAGACGAGCGAATCATGAGGTCAGGAGATCGAGACCATCCTGGTGAACACGGTGAAACCCCGTCTCTACTAAAAATATAAAAAATTAGCCAGGCGTGGTGGCGGGTGCCTGTAATCCCAGCTACTCAGGAGGCTGAGGCAGGGGAATCACTTGAACCCAGGAGATGGAGGTTGCAGTGAGCCAAGATCGTGCCACTGCACTCCAGCCTGGGCGACACAGTGAGACTCCATCTCAAAAAAAAAAAGAAAAAAAAAGAAGGTGTGCCGGGCTGGAGCTTCTGCCTCACAGGCACGTGGAGAGCCCTGGAGGAGCCCATTTCTACTGGTGAGGCCATTGCTCTGCCCACTCCTTCCCTTTGCCTGCCTGTCTATTTTGTATTCACTATATCCTGCAAGACCTCCTTTAGTTTTCTTCTCTTTTCTTTTTTTTTTTTTTTTTGAGACTGCGTCTTGCTCTATCGCCAGGCTGGAGTGCAGTGGTGCAATCTCGACTCACTGCAACCTCCGCCTCCCAGGTTCAAGCGATTCTCATGCCTCAGCCTCCCGAGTAGCTGGGAAAACAGGCATCTGCCACCACGCCTGGGTAATTTTTGTATTTTTAGTAGAGACAGGGTTTCACCATGTTGGTCAGGCTGGTCTTGAACTCCTGACCTCAAGTGATCGGCCCACCTCGGCCTCCCAAAGTGCTGGGATTACAGGCGTGAGCCACCACCCCAGGACGTGTTCTTTTTTTTTTAGAGACAGGGTCTTCCTCTGTTACCAAGGCTGAAGTGCAATGGTGCAATCACGGCTCACTTCAGCTGTGACCTCCTGGGCTCAACTGATCCTCCCACCTCAGCCTCCCAAGAAGCTACAGGCACACATCACTGTGCCTGGCTAATTTTTACTTTTTTTTTTTTCGGTAGAGATGGGGTCTCACTATGTTGCCCAGGCTGGTCTCAAACTCCTGGGCTCAAGTGATCTGCCTACCTTGGCCTCCCAAAGCACTAGGATTACAGGTGTCAGCCACCGTGCCTGGCCTCCCCTCGATTTTTTTTTTTTTCTTGAGATGGAGTCTCACTCTCTCACCCAAGCTGGAGTGCAGTGGTAAGATCTTGGCTCACTGCAACCTCCGCCTCCCGGGTTCATGTGATTCTCCTGCCTCAGCCTCCCGAGTAGCTGGGATTACAGGCGTGCACCACCACGCCCAGCTAATGTTTGTATTTTTAATAGAGACGGGGTTTCATCACGTTGGCCAGGCTGGTCTCGAACTCCTGACCTCAGGTGGTCCACCCACCCCGGCCTCCCAGAGTGCTGGGATTACAGGCGTGAGGCACTGCGCCCGGCCCTCCCCTCCATTCTTGATCTCCTCAGTTTGACCCTCTGCCTAAAGTCCTACCATTTAGGGGCTCATTCCTCTGAGGCCTCTACGTTTTAGGGGTCCTCTGATGAAGGTAAGATACATCTGGCAGTGGGGCCCTTGGTCCCCGCTAACTGACTGGGATGCGGAGGGGCCTTTTGGCTTGGGGGGCCGTGCTGGTGTCTCTGGGTTTCCAGCGGGCTCTGAGCCTGGTTCCCTAGGTGGGGATGTTTATTCGTGTATAGTGAGTGGGGAAGGACACTGCAGGCCCCCCATGCGGCTCTGGACCCATCTCCCCTGGAACTCCAACAGCTCGAGCTGTAAGTTCAACAACTCCCTGGCCATCCCTTGCTCACCAGTTGGTAGAAGTTGACGTGAGGTCCCTCGGCATCATACAGGAACCACCAGGTGGCAGCAGCCACTGTGGCCAGGCCTACGTACACTGCGGGGAGGGGAGGAGACTGGCTGTAGAGAATGGCGGTGGCTTTCTGGCATCTGTTTCCCCTGCCTAATAATTCCCTGAATTCCGGCAGGGAGCCACCCTTTTCCTCTCTAAGCCATGTGGTTTGCAGGCACCTCCCCTCGATGCCAGTGGTGAGCCCTGGCTGGTCAATCAGCATCTGCCATAACCTGGGCCACAGTGATTGGAGATTAGCAGGTGACCCTGTGTGGGCCGATGAGAACAGGCCTGCTGAGACTTTTTGTTTTTGAGACGGAGTCTCGCTCTGTCGCCCAGGCTGGAGTACAGTGGCGCCATCTCAGCTCACTGCAACCTCTGCCTCCTGGGTTCAAGCGATTCTCCTGCCTCAGCCTCCTGAGTAGCTGGGATTACTGGCACCTGCCATCACACCTGGCTAATTTTTGTATTTTTAGTAGAGATGGGGTTTAACCATGTTGGCCAGGCTGGTCTCGAACTCCCGAGCTCAGGTGATCTGCCAGCCTTGGCCTCCCAAAGGGCTGGGGTTACAGGTGTGAGCCATGTGTTGGCTGGGCTGGTCAAACTGACCTCAGGTGATCTGCCCACCTTGGCCTCCCAAAGTGCTGGGGTTACAAGTGTGGGCCATCATGCCCAGCCCAGGCCTGAGACTTTTATTATACTACCAGGAGAGCAGTATGATAAAAGGCTCTCTCTTCTGCTGAATTTGGGGTTGTAATGGAGTGAGCATGATGGCTGGGGCTGCAGCAGCCATTCTGCTACCATGAGGGACACGGGCCTGAGAATGAAGCTGAGGCAGTGCCAAAATATGCTGGTGATACTGAGACCCAGATCCAGCCGTGCCTGGTCTTTTCCATTACATGAGCCCGTACAGTTTCTCCTGGTACAAGCCAGGCTGAGTCACACCGCCTGCACCTTGCAAGCCTGATACAAGGCTCTTAGGAAGCTTAGGAACGCCACGGAGGGCTCAGGCCCCACTCACCTCCGATAGCCAGGTATCGGAAGAAGAGCCAGCCACTGATGAGGGCTTCTCGGGGGTTCCGGGGCAGCTTCTCCATGATGTCCAGGTCTGGCGGGTTGAAGCCCAGAGCCGTGGCAGGTAGGCCGTCTGTCACCAGGTTCACCCAGAGAAGCTGCACAGGGATCAGGGCTTCGGGCAGGCCCAGAATTGCCGTGAGGAAGATGCTGGAACAGAGTCATGGGCTCTAGCCCCCAGTAGGCCCAGCCCCCACCAGACGGAGGCTCCAGCTCTTGCTCAGACCCAAGGCTGGGAGCTCACCCACTGTCTCCAGGGCAGCCCCTCCTTCCTCCGCTAGCTCTGATGTGAAGGGTGTGTATACACAGCTCTGCCTCGGGCCTGGCCAGCCCTGCCTTCCCCAGTCCCAGGTCTGGATCCTGGACATACCTGCTCTTTACGCCTAGCAGAGGCCAGGTACACACACACACACACACACACACACGAAGACGGCATGCCCAAGCATCAGACATGTGCAAAAACCTAGCACGTGCCACACCATCCCGCAAACACAAGCAAACACCTACACGTCTGCCGTGAGGTGCAGAGATCCAAAATCCATCCATGTCCAGCAACACACATGCTCACCACCCCCCACAGGCATCCACACATGTGAATACAAGCGTGTGCACAGTCACACGCCGGCACACACACTTCTGCCTGTACTCACGCTCAAAACACACAAGGGCACACATGCATACATATACACGTTACACGCACCTCTCAGGCACTCAGGCCACGTGCACACACACACACATCCGCACACGGACACACACATGACTGCCTAAAGGTGTGGATTTTCTCTCATCTTGCTAATCTGCAAGTGGGAAGTTGGTGGCTGGAGGGCTGAGAGGCGGCTCTTCAGGCACCTCCTTGGGTGCTGGGGTGACCATGATCCAGAGGTCACCAGGACCTCTGGAGAATGACGAGGTGTTCACTGTCCACTCCAAGGTGGGACCCTGGAAGGCCCCAGCCAGGGTAGGGCACAGGCCCCTCCATCCCTGCAGCTCGGCCGAGGAACAGGCATTTTCCCCGTCTCAGGGGCACAGAGCAGATTGAGAGGGCCGCGAGGAGGGAGTGCCCGGCCTCACCAGACGACCTCGCCAACATTGGAGGAGATGAGGTAGCGGATGAATTGCTTCATGTTGTTGTAGATGGCCCGGCCCTCCTCCACCGCAGCCACGATGGAAGCAAAGTTGTCATCGGACAGCACCATCTCTGCCGCCGACTTGGCCACGGCCGTGCCTGAGCCCATGGCGATCCCGATCTCTGCTTTCTTCAGGGCCGGTGCGTCGTTTACTCCGTCACCAGTCTGTGGACCAGGTCAGGTAGGGCTGTGCCTGAGAAACTTCCCTTCCACCTCCCCATCTCCTCTCAGCTCAGCCCACACCCAGTCTTAGGGGATGTCCCAAAGGAAGCAGACAGCTGGACAGAACAAATGGTGGGCTCAAGAATGAACTTAGAAACTGGGCAGAGGATGAGGCTGAGGAGAAGGCAAGGGGTGCAGACCAGGACAAAGTTGGGGAGAATATCAAGCGTGAGGTCAGGGAAGACGATGGGGATGACGGTGAGTCAGCAATGAGGGTAGGGATGCAGTCGAGGTTAGATGTGGGGTGGAAACTGAGGTGAGGGAGAAAGCTGAGGTCAAGTCAGGAATGAAGTCAAGGGGATGGCCCAGGTAAAGAGACAGGCAGGTGCTGCAGTCAAGTCGAAGATCGAGGCAAAAGCAGGGGCCAAGTCAAGGTCCACATGAGGAGTGATGGCAAATGACATGAAGTCTGGAGTTGCGGTCAAGGTCAAATTGAAAGCCAGGCTGGGTACGGTGGCTCACGCCTGTAATCCTAGCACTTTGGGAGGCTGAGGCAGGCGGATCACAAGGTCAAGAGGTCGAGACCACCCTGGCCAACATGATGAAACCCTGTCTCTAGCAAAAATAAAAAAATAAACTGGGCATGGTGGCTGACGCCTATAGTCCCAGCTACTCAGGAGGCTGAGGCAGGAGAATCGCTTGAACCCAGGAGGCGGAGGTTGCAGTGAGCTGAGATAGCGCCATTGCACTCCAGCTTGGGTGACAGAGCGAGACTCTGTCTCAAAAAAAAAAAAAAAGCTATAATCTGATACAACAATGCAGACAGATCTCAAAAAAGCCCAAAACCAAAACAGTCCATACAGTATTATTCCATTCATTTGAAAATCTAGGGCAGATAAAACTCATAAACGGTGGAAAAAATCAAAACAGTGATCGCCGTTGTGTGACAAAGGACAGAGATGGGGAAGGAGTGTGCGGGAACTTCATGAGTTGATAGTAATGTGTCATATCTCTTTTTTTTTTGGAGATGGGGTCTCAAACTCCTGGGCTCAAGCAATCCTCCTGCCTTGGCCTCCCAAAGTGCTGGAATTACAAGCATGAGCCACCATGCCTGGCATTTTCCTATCTTGAATAAGGCTGTGAGTTACACAGGTGTGAGCATGTTCCTAAACTCATCAGACGATACAGTGAAGATCTGTGTGTTTCATCGAAGGCAAATTTTACCTCAAAAAGGAAAAACAGAACCATAAACAACATTGCTCTGTGGTTAATATGTATTCTAAAGTAGGTGAGGAGGAAGTATACCGATATCTGCAACTGACTTTGAAATACACTTAAGAAAGGATAGGCTAGGGACGGGCAAAGAATGGCTGGATGGACAGATATGTGATAAAGCAAATACAATAAAATGTTAGTTGTAGAATCTAGATGACAGATATGTAGGTGTTCAGAATAAAATTATTATTATTATTTTCAGATGGAGTCTCACTCTGTCACCCAGGCTGGAGTGCAGTGGCGCGATCTCGGCTCACTGCAACCTCTGCCTCCCGGGTTCAAGCAATTCTCCTGCCTCAGCCTCCCGAGTAGCTGTGATTACAGGTATGTGCCACCAGGCCCGACAAATTTTTGTACTTTTATAGAGACGGGGCTTCCTCATGTCGGTGAGGCTGGTCTCGACACTCCTGACCTCAAGTGATCTGCCCACCTCAGCCTCCAAAGTGCTGAGATTACAGGCGTGAGCCACCGCGCCTGGCCCAGAATAACATTATTTAAATTTCTCTTTGTATTTGAATTTTTTGGTAATAAGATGTTAGAGAAGGTAAGAAGGAGGCAGAGGGGAGAGTTGCCCGGCTTGCTTCTTTCCACGCCCTGTGGCCCCGCTCATCACCCGCTCCTGGGGCTCCAGGCTGTGGCCTCACCATGGCGGTGATCTCGTTAAAGGACTGCAGGTTCTCCACGATGCGGGACTTGTGTGCGGGCTCCACGCGGGCGAAGCAGCGGGCGGTGCGGCAGGCATGGCGCTGCTGCTCGGGGCTGAGGTCATCAAACTCGCGGCCTGTGTAGGCCTTGCCCACCACGTCTTCCGTGTCCCCAAAGATGCCAAGCCTGCGGCAGATGGCCACGGCAGTGCCTTTGTTATCGCCCGTGATCATGACCACGCGGATGCCCGCCTGGTGGCAGCGTGTGATGCAGGCAGCCACCTCAGGCCGCGGCGGGTCCAGCATGCCCACGCAGCCCACGAAGGTCAGGTCCGTCTGTAGGGAGGGGGCAGATTCAAGCGGTGCCTGAGACCATCCCTGACCTACCACCAGCCCAGCTGCTGCAAGGAGACTTGGCTCCCGCACCCGCCCCGTACTGCGGGGAGAATCGGCTCCCGCACCCACCTCATACTGCACAAACTTGCTGCAGTCGTCCAGCTCCATGTCCTCCTTCCTCGGGGGCACGTCCCGGGTCGCCAGTGCCAGGCAGCGCAGCGTGTCTGAGCCTGAGCCCCAATCCCGGATCTTTGCCAGGATCTGCTCCCTGGAGGCGGGGGTCAGGGGTGCTGTGTGGCTCCCCACGCGGACTGAGCTACAGCGCTCGATCACACTCTCAGGGGCCCCCTGCGAGGCAGGGAGAGGGAGAGGAGGCAACTCGTCAGTCAGGAGCCCTCCCCTCCCTCCTGCCCAAACTCAGGAAACGGAGACTAAGATAAGGGGAAAGGCCACCCAAGGGTACACACACAAGGCAGGGACCAGAATCCATTCTTTGAAAGTTCAGAGTGAGAACCAAGTGGGTCCCCCTGTGAGACAATCTAAACGGAATGGGGGGAGTGCTGGGGTGGGGGCAGCCACACACCTAGCGATGCCCTTCCCCCACCAGCCCACAGCTGACCCGGGCACTGCTATGTTTTGCAGGCAGGGGTGGGAACGGCATCTCCTGCAGGCCCTGCCTCCCTGGTGCTACTCGGGTTCCAATTTGTTAGGGGCCTTAGCAGCAGGGAGGCAGGCTGAACCCTGCCTGGGGACCAGAAATAGAGCCACGCACAGGGTGTGGCAGGCATAGCCCTGGGAAGGGGGCCCAGGGGTGACAGGCCCCTCAGTGGCCTCAGGTCTCACCTCCGACCTCACCCCGGGCCTAGAAACAGTCTCTAAAGCTCCTTCAATGGCTTCTCCTGCTCCTAAAAGGTCACCCGGACACTAACTTTTCCAAGCGGCCGAAGCTCTCAGTACAGAAGCCTTTTCATTTCAAAAGGGGTTTAAACCTTCCTTGCAGGGTGTAGCTAGAGCTGTATTTCCCCCTCCAGGTTTGGGAGCAGCAATGGAGACGCTGTAGACAGTGGTCTGCACGGGAGTTGATTCCTTTCCCTCCCTGGGACTCAGTTTCCGAAACACGGAGCACCAAGGGTAGCACCAACCACCCCCACACCACCGGTTAGGGGCAAAAGGGGCTCCTGAGAACTTCTAACCCAACCCTGTCATTCACACGGGGAGACTGGGGCTCACAGAGGAGCGTGGATGACCAGGTGCCCCAGGGTGCGCAGGGGCCCAGGCCAGACAGGCCCCCACCTTCACAAACATCTTGCTGCCCTGGCCGGCAGGGTGGGGGCGGGTGGGCGTGCAGTAGACAGACATGGACTTCCGGTCTCGGGAGAACTCCAGGGTGAACTCTTTCCGCATCAGCTGCTTGATGACCTGCGGGGTCCAGGCAGGTCAGGGCGTGAAGGACAGAGCCAGCGACTCTCGCCTGCCTTCCCACCAGCTGCTTGTCCCCAAAAGAGACTCTTGCTTTGTGTGGGGTAACATCTGTGCTCCTCTGACCCTGCCATTCAAGGCCTCCCTTTCCCTCTCCAGCCCCAGAAATGGCAATACGCTGCCATTTCCTGACCATGCTGTGTGCAGACTAACTCCAAACCCTTGTCCGCACTCAGCCTTCTCCCCGCTTTTCTCCAAGTCTGTCTTCACTGTCAGCCGGGAGCGGTGGCTCACGCCTGTAATCCCAATCCCAGCACACTGCAAGGCCGAGGCGGGCGGATCACCTGAGGTCGGGAGTTTGAGACTAGCCCGGACAACATGGTGAAATCCTGTCTACTAAAAAATGCAAAAATTAGCCGGGTGCAGTGGCACACGCCGGGAGATTGAGGCACAAGAATCACTTGAACCCGGGAGGCGGAGGTTGCAGTGAGCCAGGACTGCACCACTGTACTCCAGCCTGGGCGACAGAACAAGACTCTGTCTCAAGAAAAAAAGAAAGAAAAAAGACTTCACTGTCCTCTCTGCCTTCTCCAGATGTCCCAGAAACCCCAGCCATGCAGCTGGAGGCCTGAGCCCCCAGCCCTGCTCACCGCGTTACAGGCGCCAGCTCGCTCCACCCGGGACAGGGCCTGCAGGTCGGTGTCAAACACGTTCATCTTCTCCACCAGGCATGTCAGAGCTGTCTCCGTGGCTTCTCCCACCTTCTCGTACACACCCTTGGCCTGGCGAGGACCCAGGGCATAGGGAGTGAGGAGCAGGCAGCCTCCAGCCTGTGCCCCCAGCCTCACTCACTCCTTGCCCCAAAGCTGCCTTTGCTGAAGTTCTGTGTAATCTCCTTTACACAGGTCTGTGAGCCCTTCCGAGCCCGGCTGCCCTGCGGTTGGGGTGGTGTCTGACACTGACATTCAGCCCCCCACCCTGGCATTGATCGCCACACACCTTCCCTGCCCTCCGCCTGCATCTCCGTCCACTTCCTGTCAGCCTCCTTCACCGGTTTCTGCTGTCTGGGCCTGCTCCCGCCCTCCCACCTGCCCTCCCTGGGGCCCTTTGCTGAGCCCCAAGCCCACATGTCCAGCTGCCTGCTGAACCTTGTTCCCTGGGGGCCCCTCAGGCCACCACCCCTCCCGCTCTCTGTATTTGCCACTCCAGTGGCAGCCCCAGCCAACAGAGCCACCAGGAGCCACCCCGGCCTCCTCCCTCTCTCTTCCACCTCACCAGTCACCAAGTCCCAGGATTTTCAGCTCCTAAATCTCTCTGACCCGTGCCTTCTCCCCTCTCCCCGAGGCTTCAGCCAGGGCTCCGCCCGCATCTCTCTAGCCTGAATGACCACACAGGCCTCCCTGACTTCAGCCCTCTCCTCTGTCCTCCACACGGAAGCCTCGGTGATCTTCTGTAAATGCACACATCTGACCATGTCACTGTCCTGCTCAGAACTCTTCGGTGGTGCTCTACTGCCCTCAGCTTGGCCTCGGACTGGGTCTGGCCAAGGACCTTCCCTTGGGCAGATGCCTGCTGCATGCCCATTCCACTGCCCCAGCCACGTGAACGGCAGTCAACGCCTAAGTCGCAGGAGGCTTTAACTGAATGTGGGCCTTTTGTGGGCTGCGCCTTCTGCTTCAAACGTTTTCTTAGTCCTGTTCCCCAAATCTTTTTCCTCCACAGGTTTCCCCAGCCCTTCAGCCCCTTCCATGGTAGTCCCCCACGGCCCAAGAGCTCTGGGGGAGGGTTCTGAAGCCTGTCTGAGGAAAGGGAGGGGCGGCAGAGAGCGGTGGGCAGGGGTAACCGTGCTCCCTGGGTGTGGCACTTCCAGGGTGCAAGGGCTGCCAACCCTGGGAGCTTTGAAGCTGGGAAAAGGGTCTGTCCTGGTGGCCGGCATACTAGGGAGGTCATGAAAGGGGGTGGGGCCCACCTCATTGTAATCCAGCGCCGAGTCGTTGCACAGGGCGCAGATGGTCGCCAGCTCCACCAGCCCATCGAACTGGCCACAGCGCACAGGCAGATTCCCCTGCCGCCTGTGGAGCCGGGGCGGTCACCACGAGGACCTCGGCCCCGCCCCCGGGAGGGGCTCCGCCCCTGGCCCCGCCCCCGGGAGGGGCTCCGTCTTCTGGCCCCGCCCCCAGGGGCCTCCCACGGACACCTCGGCCCCGCCCCCAGGCCGCCCGCCCGCCAATCCCCTGGCCCCGCACTCACACTTCGCCCTCGGGGGTATACGTGGTACCGGAGATGGTGAACTCGTGCAAAAGGCAGGAGCCCGCATCGGCCTCGGCTACCACGAACATCTGGGGAGCGCAGGGTCGTGCTTAGGCGGGCGGGGTCGCCTCCCTCCTCCCTGGGCAGCCAGATTGAATAAAGCCCGACCCCAGGGTGGGGTCCTGCAGGCCCCCTGCCCCACCAAGAGCCAAACCGGCCTGGCCGTCCGTCCCCACCAGGAGGGAAATAGAATGCAGGGTCCAGGCTGAGGCAGGGACTGTCTGCTCTGCCAGGTGTGTCCCGCTCCGGTTTGTCCAAATGTCCTGGACTTCTGAGGGATTTACGGCAGATTCTTCAATGCTCTGGGGGCAGCTGCCAGCTTGAGAGAGCCCTGAGCTAGGCAGAAAGCCTGAGTCCTTACCCATCTCACTGTGTGACCCCTGGCCAAGTAGCTGAGCCTCAGTGTCTCCACTAGTAACATGGGAACCGCCCCCTCCTTTGCCTTCAAGGAAATGAGTTCCTGGCCTTCAAGGGAGATGTCCCCAGAGAGTGAGTCCCTGCCCCAGGGCCTGATGGGTCACCCAGTCCCCACCTGTGCACCTCAGGGACAGGGGGGCTTACCTGGCCCAGGATGCCTATTTCTTTGTCTGTTCAGCCAGCTCTGCTGGGGAGACAGTTCTCGCTTCCTGGACATGGCCTTGCTGCACATTCTCAAGCAAATGGCCAGCCCAGCGCCCAGTAGATACATAATAAGTGTCCTTTCCTTCCCACTCTCCTCCCTACTCCTGGGGATAGTCACCCAAGCAAGCACAGCCCAGCATCCAGCACGTAAGGCCTCTACAACTTCCCCACACTGCACTTTTAAAATGTTTGTTATTAGCTGGGCATGGTGGCTCACGCCTGTAATCCCAGCACTTTGGGAGACCGAGGCGGGTGGATCATGAGGCAGGTGGATCACGAGGTCAAGCTTGATTGAGACCATCCTGGCCAACATGGTGAAACCCCGTCTGTACTAAAAATACAAAAATTAGCCAGGCATGGTGATGCGTGCCTGTAATCCCAGCTACTTGGGAGGCTGAGGCAGGAGAATTGCTTGAACCCAGAAGGCAGAGGTTGCAGTGAGCCAAGATCGTGCCATTGCACTCCAGCCTGGGCGACAGAGTGAGACTCCATCTCAAAAAAAAAAAAAAAATCTTTATTAGGGCACAGGGCTGTAATCCCTGCACTTTCGGAGGCCGAGGCAGGTGGATCACTTGAGGTCACGAGTTACAGACCAGCCTGGCCAACATGGTGAAACCCCATCTCTACTAAAATACAAAAATTAGCTGGGCGTGGTGGCACATGCCTGTAGTCCCAGCTACTTGGGAGGCTGAGGCAGGAGAATCACTTGAACCCGGGAGGCAGAGGTTGCAGTGAGTTCAGATCATGCCACTGCACTCCAGCCTAGACAACAGAGTGAGAGTCTGCCTCAAAAAAAAAAAAAAAAATCTCATTCTTAGTCAAGAAACACTCTGTTTAAATAAAATCCTACGAGGGCTTTTAGCAGGACAGTAAAGGTTGCTAGCACCCCTCCCCAAAAGCAGCCTTTGATGGGCTCCTAGAAGGCCTTAGGGTCTCAGAATACAGAGCCTGGGTTACCAAGCCCAGTGGGCAGATATGGAAACAGCGGTGACAGACAGGCACTGGGGGCCTGGGAAGGGTGGGGAATCCATAGCCTTCACCATCTCCCCACTCACCCATCTGCTGGGCCAGGAGGAGCCTTCTGCCCCATGGACCTGCTGAAGTCTCAGCCAGAATCCCTTGGCCATGTGGGGGGTGGGCCCAGGATGTGGGATCAAGTGCCAGGGAATGAATAATTCCTGCCCCGGCCCTTCCCGGGTTACCGGAGCTGGCTTATCTGGTGACAGGTGTTGACTGCACAGAGCCATGCTGGGACAGGATGGAACCCGGGTCCAGGTCCAGCTTGATTCCTACGCCAAGGCTGAGCTTGAACCTCTCCTTTGTCCTTTACATTTACCTAGCAGGCCTCACACAGCCAGGCTTCCGATGAGGAGACTGAGGTTAACAGACTGTCAGCAACCTGGCCAGGGCCCCACAGTGCCGCACAGGCCTCAGTGACATGAGGCTACCCAGGCATGATTTGCTATAGCCTCCCTGTCATCTCATGAAAACCTAGACCTGCTCTGGGCCAAGGGGCAGCCCACAGGTTCTCTCCTCCATCCCTCACTGAAAAGGAGGTCGGGGAGAGACCCAGAGAGGTAGCCCAGCCCGCTTAGCGATGCACAGCAACATCAAGCTGGCCGTCACTCACCCGGCAGACAGACATCTGATTGGTGGTGAGCGTGCCCGTCTTGTCGGAGCAGATGACCGAGGTGCAGCCCAGGGTCTCCACGGAGGGCAGGCTTCTCACGATGGCGTTCTTGCGTGCCATGCGCCTCGTGCCCAGTGCCAGGCACGTAGTGATGACGGCCGGGAGGCCCTCGGGGATGGCTGCCACGGCCAGGGCCACGGCGATCTTGAAGTAGTAGACAGCGCCGCGCAGCCAGGAGCCACCGTGGGCCGGGTCGGCGAAGTGTCCGATGTTGATGACCCACACGGCCACGCAGATCACAGAGATGGCATGGGACAGCTGCCGCCCAAACTCATCCAGCTTGCGCTGCAGCGGCGTCCGCTCGGGCTCCACCGCCGCCATCTGGCTCCGGATCTTGCCCAGCTCCGTGTGCAGGCCGGTGGCCACGGCCACACCCACTGCTTTGCCCGAGGCGATATTGGTGCCCTGGCCGAGGGAAAGACAAGCAAAAAGCTGCTCAGCAGCCAAGCCGGACCCCGGACTCCCTCAAGCCGGAGTAAGGCACTTCTCCTTCTACCCGGCTTTCTTTTTCTCCATGTTGCTAGTGCTTCTAGACTTCTGTAGCTAGGTATGCATTGGCTCCCTGCTGCCTTCCCATGACAGTGTCAGCTCTAGGAAGGCAGGGATTGGGTTCATCGCCGTATCCCCAGTGCCTAGCATGGGGCCGGGCACAGAGGAAGCACGGGGGCTGATACCGATAATATAATGGACCAGCGCAGCACAAGCATCCGTCCCGCAAAATGTGATTCATAAACAACCACTATAGCCACACAGGAGCACAGCCGACTACGAACTCAATAAACAGCCCATTAATATTTACTGAAAAATCCACAAAACCTGGGCCTCAGCTCATCCATTTCCAAGGCTCCAGTAAAATCCTCAATTCCTAGCATAAGGGACAGCCAGCCTTGCGGCTTGGTGTCTTCTGTAAAGTGATCCAGCAGAGGCCCCAGATAGTTTTTCGGAGGAGGCTGAGAACTCGGTACCCCTTCAAAAGCATATGCTGTTGAGGCTGGCGAGAGGGCAGGCCCCAGCCTCTCTTCTGTCTTAAGCGATGCAGCTCTAGTCCCCAACATGCAGGGCCCAGCCAGACAACCTTCCTGCAAAGCTTTTTATTATTACTTTAGAAAATTTTTTTTGTTTAATTTTGAATTTTAGTAGAAATGAGGTCTCACTATGTTGCTCAGGCTAGTCTCAAACTCCTGAGCTCAAGTGATCCTCCTGCCTTGGCCTCCCAAAGTGCTGGGATGATAGGCATGAGCTACCAGGCCCGGCCCCTCCAAAGCTTCTTAGTGACAGCTGCTGATACTGGAGCAATGGCTGTCACCATTGCTCCCCACGCCAAGGCAAGTGCCAGGGAATAGAAGCCTGTCCAAGGCTTCCATGCAGTTAGGTAGGCCCCTCTCAAGAAGAGTTCTGGGCTGGGCGTGGTGGCTCACACCTGTAATCCCAGCACTTTGGGAGGCCAAGGCGGGTGGATCACCTGAGGTCAGGAGTTAGGGACCAGCCAGGCCAACATGGTGAAACCCTGTCTCTACTAAAATACAAACATTAGCCAGGCATGGTGGCATGTGCTTGTAATCCCAGCTGCTTGGGAGGCTGAGGCAGAAGAATGGCTTGAACCCGGGAGGCAGAGGTTGCAGTGAGCCGAGATTGTGCCACTGCACTCCAGCCTGGGCGACAGAGCGAGACTCTGTCATAAAAAAAAAAAAAAAGTTGGCCGGGCGCGGTGGCTCACACCTGTAATCCCAGCACTTTGGGAGGCCGAGACGGGCGGATCACAAGGTCAGAAAATCGAGACCATCCTGGCTAACACGGTGAAACCCCGTCTCTACTAAAAATACAAAAAAATTAGCCGGGCGTGGTGGCGGGTGCCTGTAGTCCCAGCTACTTGGGAGGCTGAGGCAGGAGAATGGCGTGAACCTGGGAGGCGGAGCTTGCAGTGAGCGGAGATCGCGCCACTGCCCTCCAGCCTGGGCAACACAGCAAGACTCCGTCTCAAAAAAAAAAGTTATGGGTGAGTTTCACTTTCTTCATTCCTCTTCCCTTCCAGGGAGTCTTCTATCCCCTTATAACTTGTGGCCTGGGCCATTGTCTGACTGGCCTGACCCTTCCTTGTGGCCCCAAATGCTCCTTGCTGGCCTCAGGCTATTGCTGGGCAGCTGTGAGTATCACTTGCTAACTTTCTCTGAGGCCACGGAGGCAGGTCTCTCCCCCGAAAGCTGAACCCATCGCTCTCCCTGAGAAGAGCCGGGCATCATGCCTTGTGGGTCAGTTTTCCTATCGGAGAATGGACTATGCCCACCATCCTCCACCACTTTGGCAGACCTCTTTCCACTAGAGCATTTCTATTGAGTGATTACAGGGGGTCTCTGCCCCTCTCCAGGAGAAGGCAAGGTCTCCCAGCAGAAATCCAGGATGTCTGAGTTCGTCCCAGCTCTGCCACTCACTGGCTGTGTGACCTTCGGCAACTTACTTAATCTCTCTGTGCTTGTTTCCTTGCTGGAAAATATTGATAACAAGCATAACAAGAGTACTTATTTCAAAGATTTGGTATAAAGATTAAATAAACTAGTATGTGTAAAGGGCTTAGAACAGTACCAGGCACACAGCCCCCAGTAAACACGAGCTATTATTACTATAAATTTGCATGTATTATCAAGAATTGATGAGGTTCTTCCCCATAGGACTTTAGTTGATTAATCTTAATGTTGGGCCGGGTGCAGTGGCTCATGCCTGTAATCCTAGCACTTTGGGAGGCCAAGGCGGGCGGATCACTTGAGGTCAGGAGTTCGAGACCAGCCTGGTGAACATGGTGAAACCCTGTTGCTACTAAAAATACAAAAATTAGCCAGGTGTGGTGGCAGGTGCCTGTAGTCCCAGCTACTTGGGAAGCTGAGGCACAAGAGTAGCTTGAACCTGGGGGTGGGGGTTGCAGTGACCCGAGATTGTACCACTGCATTCCAGCCCGGGCAACAGGGCCAGAAAAAACAAATCTTTTTTTTTTTTTTTTTTTTTTTGAGACAGAGTTTTTGCTCTTGTCACCTAGGCTGGAGTACAGTGGTGTGATCTTGGCTCACCGCAACCTCCACCTCCTGGGTTCAAGCGATTCTCCTGCCTCGGCCTCCCAAGTTGCTGGGATTACAGGCACGCATCACCACACCCAGCTAACTTTTTGTATTTTTAGTAGAGATAGGGCTTCGCCATGTTGGCCAGGCTGGTCTCGAACTCCTGACCTCAAGTGATCCACCTACCTCAGCCTCCCAAAGTGCTGGGATTACAGGTGTGATAATAATCTTAATGTTGTTATTTTTATCATTGTCTGGGCAAAGGCCTCAGACATTTGAGGGACTTACAGAAAACAGCATGTTCTTCTTGTCCTGGTTCACAGCTCTGGGGTCTGAGATGGCCTCTGTGTGCTTGGTCACGGACACAGATTCACCTGGTCATGGAATCAGAGATGAGAAGCCCCACATGAAGACACACCCATCCCGTGGCCCCATCCCGTGGTCCCATCCCGTGGCCCCATCCCGTGGTCCCATCCCGTGGTCCCGGTCCACTAGGTCCCGGCCTCCCGGCGGGGGGGCCTCACCCGTCAGGATGGACTGGTCCACTCGCAGCGTGGTGGACTTGATCTCGATGAGGCGGAGATCAGCAGGCACTTTGTCCCCCACTGTGCGGGGAGAATGACTTGGCTGAGAGTGGCTTTGGGCACCACCAGCTGGGAAAAGCCAGAAGGGTTCCCAGGACCCAAGGCTGGGGCTGGGCGTCGAGTGGCTGAGCTGTGATCGCTCTGGTGGACCCCTGTCCCTCTGGCCCACAGTCTCATCTGTCCAACAGGGTTTTGGCCAAAGGGCTTTGGAGGGATCTGACGGCCACCCCCTCTGTGCATACAGCCCGAATGATGGAGGCACAGACAGGGATGGGGCTCCCAGGCCCATATAATAAAAGAAGGAGGCCCCTATGGGAGGCTGAGGCAGGAGGATTGCTTGAACCTGGGAGGCGGGAGGTTGCAGTGAACCGAGATTGCGCCACTGCACCCCAGTCTGGGCAACAGGGCAGGACTCCATTTCAAAAATAAAATAAAATAAAAAGAAAATAAAATAAAAAGAGGAGCCCCCTGGCATACCCGCCACTTCTACAATGTCCCCTGGGACGATGTCCCGGGCACGGATCCTCTGCACGCCCTTGCGGTCCGAGCGGATCACCTTGCCCATCTCAGGCTCATACTCCTTCAGGGCCTCGATGGCACTCTCGGCGTTGCGTTCCTGCAGAACAGAAGGCAGGCAGGCGGTCTGCCCTGCTGCCCCCAGCAGGCCGCCCCCTTGGAGTCACTCCCCTGGGGCCTGCGATGGAGCTGGAAGCAGAAGGGTCTGCAGGACGCCAGCACCAGGTGGAGGGCACTCCTAGTGGCTGGGAGACCCCCAGCCCGGTCCCACCCCCAGTGCCTCCCACCTGCCACACGCCCACAATGGCATTGGCCACGAGGATCAGCATGATGACCAGGGGCTCCACGAAGGCAGTTGTGGTCTCCTCGCCCTCCTCGAACCAGGCCAGGACCTGCAAGATCACAGCTGGTGAGCTCAGGCCCTGCTGCTGGCCAAGATCTGCTCTTCTTTTCTTTGGCACCCCGGATCTCCTGTCTGCTCCCCTGCTTTGGGGAGATAGCACTGGGGAGCCCTTGGCTTGGAGAGGGCCACTCCTCTGAGAAGGCCTTGGCATAGGATGCCCACCCCACAGGAGTGACCACCCCACCCAGGCCAACCTTCAAGGCTGTGGGGCAGTGGGACGGGTGCCTGCCCAGGCCTTACTGTCTGCCTGGAGCAGAGCATCTCAGTGTAGTCCCCACACCAGCAGTGGCAGCGGCTGGGAACTTGTAAGAAATGTTGATCTCAGGGCCTCTCCCAGACCTCCTGAGTCACAAATTCTGGGGTGGGGCCCAGTCATCTGTGTGTCAGCAAGCCTACGGATTCTTTTGAGACAGAGTCTTGCTCTGTTGCCCAGGCTGGAGTGCAGTGGCTCGATCTTGGCTTACCGCAACCTTTGCTTCCCAGGTTCAAGCAATTCTTGTGCCTCAGCCTCCTGGGTAGATAGGATTATAGGCGTCCACCACTATGCCTGGCTAATCTTTTTATATTTTAGTAGAGACGGGGTTTCACCATGTTGCCCAGGCTGAATTCCTGAGCTCACCCGCCTCGGCCTCCCAAAGTGCTAGGATTACAGGTGTGAGCCACCGCAGCCAGCCAAGCCCAGGTGATTCTGATGCATGCATCCAAAACCCATTAGGCAGCAAAGTATCACTGGGAAAGGAGGAAGAGCAAGGAGAAGCAGCCAAGAGGAGGCTGCAGGAGGTTCAGACCCCAGAGTCCTTGTGGGGGGCACTAGGACCCATGAAAGGGGCTCCGGTAGCAGCACTCAGGCAGGGGCAATGTGCCCCCCAGGGGCATTTGGCAATGTCTGAAGACATTTTTATTTTTTTGAGACAGGGTCTTGCTCTGTTGCCCAGGCTGGAATGCAGTGGTGTGATCACGGCTCACTGCAGCTCCGGCCTCCCGGGCCCAAGCGATTCTCCTGCCTCAGCGTCCAGAGTGGCTGGGACTATAGGCCTGCACCACCACACCCGGCTAAATTTTTTTTGTATGTTTTGTAGAGACAGATTCTCCCTATGTTGCCCAGGCTGGTCTCAAACTCCCGGGCTCAAGTGATTTTACTGCCTCGGCATCCCACAGTGCTGGGATTTCAGTCATGAGATGTTAGGTCCCGCTGTCTAAAGACCTTTTTGACGGTCACAGCTGGGAGGTGCTACTGGCATCTGGTGGGTAGGGTCCAGGGATGCTGCTAAACACCCTACAGTGGGAAGCTCCCCCCCGCCGCCAACAAAGAATGATCTGGTCTAAACTGTCAGTAGTGCTGAAGGAGAGACGGCCTAGGCTACAGCAGGGCGGGGCAGGGGGCGGATGTGAGCTGGAGAGCTCGCTGAGAGCCAGAGGATAAGATGGATTAGAGGGGTCAGGTGGAAACTGGGGGCCCAGTATAGGGGCCATGAGGGTTCAGGCAAGGGAAGCTGAAGTCTGAGCAGGGCAGGGCCAGGGAAGGCCAGAGAGCAGGCCCAGGGTGTGGAGAACAAGGCCAGGCTCCAGGGCCTCAGAGCACTGCCCAGCCTGGCTCTCCCTCCAGGGTGACCCACTCCCACAGGATGGCAGGCAGGGCCCCACTTACAAAGGAGACAAGGGCGGCCAGCAGCAGGATGCGCACCAGGAGGTCCTCAAACTGTTCAAGCACCAGCTCCCACAAGGACTTCCCTGGGAACAGGAGTCATGCGTGAGGCTGGGCCCCCACCACTGACCCTTCCCACTTGGAGCTAGGATGGCCCCGGAAACCTCCCATTCTCTCCCTGCACTCGGAAGAGGGAGGACCCAGATCCCTGAGAGGCTCAGGTGGGTGATCCTGGGGAGCTCAGCAAGGCCTCACTCAGCGGGGAGAGGGAAGTCACAACCTGACGGTGAAGGACCCAGGGATGCTGTTCCGCGGCCTAGCGGTCCATCACGGTGCCAGCCTCACCTTCCTCAGTTGGGAGCTCTGCAGGATCCAGGCAGCCACGGGAGCCATGAGGAGACAAAAGAGCAGTGGGTCACGCAGGGGGCATCAGGGGAATCTGGCAGCGCCTGCCCACCGTGCCCGCCCAGACCCCCACCATGGACTGGATGTATCCCCCAGGGCTCTGAAGTCACAGGATAAATGGTTTGGACCCAAATGCTTCCACCCCTCTACCCTCCCCCCACTCAGATTGAGGAAGATCTAGGGTGACTTGGCTCATCTTGGGATGAGATCGGAGCCAAGAGGGTCCTTCCAGCCCCTCCGGTCCAGCCCCTCCCTGCCCCATTTCACAGAGGGGAAACTGAGGCCTAGAAAAGAGACACTTCCCCCACCCAGGTCACACAGAGAGTGGGCTGTTCTCACGGCTCCCCTGCATAGCCCTTCCTTAGATGGCCGCATAGTCCTGTTGAGCATCTCCCACCCCCGCAGCAAGGCAGCCCCTCCCTCAAACGGAGAACACCGGCTCAGGCGTCTTCCGCTCACCAGGCCTGACATCCCTGCTCCCCTGCGACCAGCTGGACAAGGTCTGCAGCTGGGCCGGGCTGCTGAGCCCCACTGCACAGCGGGGCTCCCCCTGGACAGGACCCTAGCAGCCAGCACCCCGCAGTTAGGATCCCTCCCACAGTGCAGCCCCCCCAGGCCCTGCACTCCAGGTGAGTTCAGTGAAGACCTCCCAGCCCCACCCCACATACCCGGTTTCCCCCACCCCCCAACACAACATGGTGAAGAACATTGTTTCCAAACTCCAACAGCACCCGCCTCACTTTAGGTGCTTTTTTTTTTTTTTTTTTGAGATAGACTCTCGCTCTGTCGCCCAGGGTGGAGTGCAGTGGCCGGATCTCAGCTCACTGCAAGCTCCGCCTCCCGGATTTACGCCATTCTCCTGCCTCAGCCTCCCGAGTAGCTGGGACTACAGGCGCCCGCCACCTCGCCCGGCTAGTTTTTTGTATTTTTTTAGTAGAGACGGGGTTTCACCGTGTTAGCCAGGATGGTCTTGATCTCCTGACCTCGTGATCCACCCGTCTCGGCCTCCCAGAGTGCTGGGATTACAGGCTTGAGCCACTGCGCCCGGCCAGGTGCTTTTTTTTTTTTTGAGACAGAGTCTCGCTCTGTCGTCTAGGCTGGAGCACGGTGGTGCGATCTTGGCTCACTGCAACCCCCACCTCCCAGGTTCAAGCAATTCTCCTGCCTCAGCCTCCCGAGTAGCTGGGATTACAGGCACGCGGCACCACTCCCGGCTGATTTTTGTATTTTTAGTAGAAACGGGGTTTCACTGTGTTGGCCAGGTGGTCTCGAACTCCTACCTTTGTGATCTGCCCACCTCGGCCTCCCAAAGTGCTGGGATGACAGGCGTGAGCCACCGCACCCCAGCCTCGGTGCTGATTTTTATCTCCAACATTTCCCGAAGCACCTTTCATATCAGGCAGAGCTGGGTGCCTCAGGCCCCTGACGTCGTTGAATCATTCCTGCAGCCTAAAGGGGAGGCTGCAGAGAGTTCCAGCCCCTCCACTTCACAGACCGGGGCTTGAAGGATCACGGTGGAGGCGTGGCTTGAGCAAAGCCACACAATGAGTGAGTGGGTCTGTGTGGGGAAGAGAGGGGCGGGAGCCGGGCTCTGGAGGATGGGCTTGGAGAAGCTCCCCCTTCCCAGGCTACAGTCTAACCGAGCCCTGCCCTCTCTTGTCCCTTGCCACTCATAGGACGTCTCCGGACATCTGCGGCATCTCCCCGAAGCTCGTTAGCCGTGCGGAATCTGAGGCCCCGGCCCTGGCTGGCTCTCTTCCACCTCCTCCTTCCTGACACTGGAAACAGGGCCTCGCGTCGGTCCACCTGTTTTTGGCCTGCAGGCATTTCTTTCCTATGGGAGCCCTCTCCCCGGACCACCTGTTTGGAAGCTTTAGGGTCTGCACCTGGCAGCTGAACCCTGGGGAATATCAAGCAGCCCACTGGACTGCAGGAATCCAGGAGGAAAATATATAGCCTAAAAATACACTTTCTAGCATTTTCTCCAAAGTCCTATTTTCGGCAGTGGCTGACATTTTCCGTGGAAAATGTAATCTCCAGTGTCCTGCGTCGAGATTAAAATCAAACAGACTTTTTCCTTCTGATCTATTTAGCTGAGGCGAACAGGAAAGGCAGGGGGCGGGCCAGGCCTGGTTTCTGGGCCAATTCTCCAGTGGAGCTTTAGTGTGCTTTAGAGGACACCCCAGCCATGCTCCAGCCTCAAATCAGGACAGTGCTAACCTCACAGTGTGCACGGTAGGCTTGTGCCGGGTGCTACCCAGGAGATGCCTGTAACCCTCACCTTTCTTTGTTCTGGGCAAGGGCGAGGCCTGGGGTTGGGAAGCGTGTCGTGGGGTACACGTGCCAGCTCCGGTCCCTGTACTTCCTCACAGAGGTCCCCATGATGCCTCCTGCCTGCCTCGGCTAGTCTCTTAAAGTTCTCCTTTCTCTCTCTTTTTTTTTTGGACAGAGTCTTGCTCTGTCGCCCAGGCTGGAGTGCAGTGGTGCGATCTTAGCTCACTGCAAGCTCCGCCTCCCAGGTTCAAGCGATTTTCCTGCCTCAGCCTCCCGGGTAGCTGGAATTACAGGCGCCCGCCACCACGCCCAGCTAATTTTTGTATTTTCAGTAGAGGCGGGGTTTCACCATGTTGGCCAGCCTGGTCTCAAACTCCCGACCTCGGGTGATCCACCCACCTCGGCCTCCCAAAGTGCTGGGATTACAGGTGTGAGCCACAGCAGCTGGCTCAGTTCTCCTTTCTCTACCTGTCGACCTGGGTCATCTCCCTTCTGCTCTCTGACCCACCCTGACCCAGGACCCACTCTTTGGTGCTCATGATGCTGTTCCCCAAATATTTCTGGTCCTCCCCACCTTGTGGGCATAGTAGGAAGGCACTGCCCGGCCCCCGTGTGACTTTTGAGAAGAAGAATGTGTATTCCTGCCAGGTTGGAGCATTGACTTTTGGTGGGGGGCTTTCTAGGAGGTCACTGTCCAGTAGAATGTCCTGTGATAGCAGAAGTATCCTCCATCTGTGCTGGCCAGGACCGGAGCCACTAGCCACAGGCAGCTGGTGCGCCCCTGGACTGTGACTAATTTCAAATTTTACTTTAATTTTCATGCATTTAAATGTAAATAGCCAAGCGGTTGGAGCTCTTTGACACTCTCCTACAGCAGCCAGCAGCCTGTGAGATGGTGTCTGCTCCATCGATCGGGGTCACAGAGTGAGGAAGGCACAGAGCCCCCGATGACCAGTCTGCTGCCAGCACTCAGCAGGCGTGAGAAAGGAGCCTCCGGTCCTTCAAGGTGCCGAGATTCCGAGGCGATGGCTGCAGTAACCAAGCTAAACCTGACTGATAAACCCCTCCGCCCAGACCTGGCTTCCTCCGCAAAGCTCCCTCTCACCCCGCCCCCCTGAGGAGGGAGGCCTGACCTGCCCCTGAACACAGCTCTGGTCCTGCCCACACAGCCGGCTCCTTGTGAGGCCTTGAGCCTCATTTGGGAGGTGGCGTACGCACACCCACCTTGAAGGCCTGCTGTGATGATCGTCATAATCATTACTATTAACAGCCACATTTACCAAGCACCTGCCAAGCAATGCCCCAGGTGCCTTCCCGCATTATCTGCAGAGAACAAATGGGAAGACGCTGGGGACCGAGCTAAGCACGTGAGGTGCTTAGCAGAGGTCATAGCAGCAGCAGCTGGTGGTGTACGCCAGACGTGCTGCTAACTCCCTGTGTGCCTTATTCTCATGATCCTCAAACAAGCTGGGAAGGAAGATGCCATTGTTATACCCATTTTACAGAGTACACAACAGAGAGGTTGAGTGACTAGTTCTCTGTCACACAGCGGGGGAGGCCGGGAAGGGTTTTGAGCTCAGGCAGTCTGGCTCTCGATGCCCTGCTGTGGGCCTCCTGCGCTAATTCTTAGGCGGTCCTGCCTTCCCTCCTCCACGCTCTTTACCACCCACCCAAGGTCATCTGAAAACCTTGGTGTCCCATGTCCTGGTTGCTGGGCTGGATGTCCTCATCCCACCAGTCGGAGTGCCCCTCTGTAGAGAACCCAGAACCACAGCCCAAATCCTCCTGTCCAAAAGGCGCTGCTGGCCTCCCTCATGGGGTTTTAGGGGCCTGCGAGGCTCTGCCTGCTCGGGCCTGGTCTGCTTCTAAATTCAACCCTGAAGGACCCAATTCTCCCCTCACATGAATGAGCCCCAGGGTGATGGAGGGAGCCCAGGGCTGGGAGATGCCCCACTCCAGGCGTTCCTGGAAGATGCTGGCTCCTTCCTTGCTCTCTCTGAGGCTGCATGTTGGGGTCTGAGACAGTTCCCCTTGAAATGGCGGCCTTGGGCCTCTCGCAGTGCCAGCTGTCCCATCTGTTAAATGAGAGAGTGCCCTGGCTCTGCCCACTCTCACGGCCATCCGCTGGGCTGCAGGGGGCAGAGACAGGACTGGGGGGGGTGCCGCTCCCTCTGAGAGCCACAGTGGGGCTGGCCACTATTCTCTTCTGAGCCTCTGCCACGGTGAGCCCTGCCTGGCCCATGTTGCCAGGCTGAGAGGGCCTGTGTTCACGGAGGCCCCGCGTGCAGGCCTGGGAGTCAGCCTGCGGTCCTGGGACAAAAGGGAGGTGATCAGAGAAGCTTTGTGGCTTAGATCAAGGAATCTGGTCCAGGGGGCTCAAGTTCAAATCCTGCTCTATCTCACAGTACTTCTGTGGCCACAGGCCAGTTACCTCATCCCCTGTGTCTGTTTCTCCATCTGCAAAAAGAGGGTGATAATGGTAAGTACCTCACAAGGATGCTGGGAAGATTGAACAGCATGCATGAAGCACGTGGAATGCAGAGCACACAGTGAATACGCTCCAGCCATAATCACTTGCTAGAATATAAGCTCTAGGGTACCAAGATTTTTTTTTTTTTTTGAGACGGAGTCTCGCTCTGTCGCCCAGGCTGGAGTGCAGTGGCCGGATCTCAGCTCACTGCAAG